TATATATAGATATATATGAACTTAATTGCAATCCTTGGCTGAATCCTACTTTTTATGATATTAGATACTTCTACTACTAATAGGAAATGTTCCATCAATATTGACACCTTTTTATTTGGGGTATTTACATACATACCATCCAATTGCTATTTATTCACATATTTAATATTTAAACATCTACTTTTTATATATTTATACTGTCAAAAATTTTCATATCACATTTAAAATATTATTATTTAAACTCTTAAAAGTGAAATGTAATTCCTTGTGCATAGGTGTACTTGAATTGTTATGCACATTAAGTGATTTGTATGTAAAATTTTTTCCCTTTAAATACAATCAAATCAATTTTTATGCTATATCATATCTCGCTTCAATTTTTTTTAAAAATATTCAAAATAAAAATCATTTTTATATTATATGTTAAGGGTTTGAAGTTAATTGTTACATCTAAAGCATCTTTCTCTATGTATAAAAATGTGTAAATAGCGTGATACATCTTTTCATATATAATTTATAACTTTTAGAATGTAAAAATTTAAATTTAAATGTAAATAAACTCATAATATTTGGTGCCGCGTACCCTGGCCTGCCTGTTTGTTTGCATCAACAATATAAAGCCTCTCAGATTGGAGTTCGAATTCTCTGCGACACAGTTGGTCTTAAGATGATAGTGCTTGAATTGTTATGCACATTGAGGATGACCGATACAATATGGCTTTTAGCTTATAGTAATAATAATAAAAAAAACAATAATAAAAAAAAAACTCTTAAACTTCCGTTTTGCATAGCGCTGTCAAAATAGCTCGTGTTCGACTCATTAAGAAGCTCGTGATCGGCTCGTTCGGTAAGTTAACAATCTAAACAAGAACAAACCTAGGATCATGAAATATTTTTTTTAGATGGAGATCCACTATCCCAACTCTATTTTGTGATCTCTTTTAATATTAACGTGTAAGGAGGCACGAGTTGTTCTTTAATTTATATATATATATATATATAATGATGAGTAGTATTTTAAAAAAAATTAAATTGATTAAAATGCTACAAAGATTTATAATTAAAAGTAGTAATTAAAAAAATAGAATAAAAATTATTAAATTAATTTTCAATGATGTTTTAATATAAAAATAATTTTTAAATTTTGCTCTAAACCTTTAATATATTATAGATTATGATTAAGATTGTCAAAATAATTTTTTGTTCGTGAACAACTCATGTTAATTAACGAGCCAAATACGAACACAATTTTTTAGCTTGAACAAAAGCTGTACAACCCTAGTTTTGCATCCGGGCATTCCAGCATTAATAATTATTTTCAGGTAATTCGAATTGCGAGAGCCGTTGCGTCCGTGTTACGCCAACGTGCTACAACGCAACCCTTCGGTAATCGGCTCCCTTTTCCCGCTCGGCGCCGCCCTTAGAGCTTGCCCGCTCGGTTCTTCTCTCTCCTTGGAGTTTCTCTCCTGCTCCTCAGACGAAACCCTAGATTTCAGCTTGTTGATCGTCGCCTGACTAGACAGACTATTGAGGGTTCATGGGGTCCTTTTTCTCCTCCGGAACATCAGCCGAAGAAGAGCGCTGCAACGGGATTCCGGTGATCCTCAACGTCTACGATCTCACCCCGTTGAACAATTACTTGTACTGGTTCGGTCTAGGCATCTTTCACTCCGGTATTGAAGGTGAGCTGGCACCACACTATCTCTCGCTACCTTAATCTGTCACTTTGATTTTTGTTTTTTTTATTCCTCTTTATCATTACATTCTGTTAGTTTTTGTTTTGGTTTTTCTGTTTATTACTTTTTTGCAGACTTCGATTTAGCTGTGTCTGTTTTTGCTGACTTGGGCGTGTTTTTCTGTTTAGGATCCTTTTACTAAGATGATCTGTATCAGATTTAAATTTCTAAGCACCTTTGTGGAAGTCTTTTATGGTCCTGAATGCACCAATTCAAACTTTAGCAAGAGCTATTAGCAGGTGTTCTTGCAAAGGTCGTGGAATCACTTTGATATCCAATCTTTGATGCTAGCTAAATTTTAATGACATATACGCTCGAATTTTAGGGGGAGTGTTATTGTAGAGATCTAGCATATTTAAAAGTTATTAATTTATAAATAATTAATTATTATTATGTAATTTTTTTTTAAAATTTTAGAATATTATTGCTATTATTGCTCTGTTTTTGTATGTACATGGATAGAGGAAGCAATTATACAGTAAATTAAAGTACGTTTATTCTTGGTTGCTACAGTAGTAATGTTGAAATCAAATTTGTCCATTGAAAAAAATAACCTTGAAAGAATCATGAGTAGGGCTGCAATCGAGCCGAGCCGAGCCGAGCCGGCTATATGATAGATTGGACTTGGTTTGGTAACATTGTATGTTCTTCATGCTTGGCTCGAGCTTGAGCCAAGCTTTCACATGTATGTTCAAGATTGACTTGTTTAAATTTTTTAATACTTTTACTTAATTTATACTTTATTTTGTTTATGTCAATTGAACGAGTTAATAACTAAGTCAAAAATTTGTATGAGCATATTGGTTTTCATATGAACTTTTCACCAACTAATTTAATAAGAAAATATAAATAAATAAGCAATTGAATAATTTTGATTTGGTATCTAATTATTTTACATAAAGTAAATAAGAAAATATATATACGTTGCAAATAAGTTTTCTTAAAATCAAATGGCATAAATAAATACTAATTAAAAAATTCATTAAAATAAAAAAAAATAAGAGTGAATTGTATTAAATTAATCAGCATATTCGTTAATTAGAACTTAAATTATTTGAAAATGATTTAAGAAGCTAAAAAATTATGAATACTTGCCTAGATAAGAAACATTTCGTTCGAAGAAAGGGGTACATCAGATCCTCAAAATGATTGTAGTTCTTTTATCTCATTAAAAGTAAGATGATTTACTACAACTGAAAAGCTAATGAGAAATAAGTTATATCGATTTCATTAATGGAAGAAAAATATACAATAGTTTCTCAAACTCTATAGTCATTAATAGGGATAACATTTATTCATATTGAATGCATATGTTGTTGTGGATAAGAGAATCAATAATAGTTTTTTTTTTCCAAAAATACATAGTCAATTTCATCATATTTACTATCATTTATGGGCTGCTAATGGTATAAAAAATGTGAAAGATTTTGGGCAGAGGTGGACGGGGATTTCAAGAAACTGTGAACTGAGAAAAATGACATGAACAAGATAGAGTTGTGAAAAGAAAAAGATAGACTAAAGGATTGAGGCTACTGAGTGTTGTGCCAACAATGATTTATAGATGTGAAAATAAAAATTAAAGATATATAATATTATATAGTTAATATGAATTATATAATTAATAAATAGTTATTATATATTTATGTAATAATTAATTAATTAATATAAAAAAGCATGATTGATTGACTATGCTGAATATTTTTGTAATAATTATTAAATTATGCTAATTAATAAATAAATATATTATTAATAATCAATCTTATATTATTATTGATATAATAATATATTACTCTGAAATATATAATTATGTAAGTTTTATTTGATTAATTTTTATTTAAATAATATATTATATATGCTATGCGTTATCATCGAGGTTAATATTAAGTATTGAATAAATTACTTGTTGAATAACAAATGAGTTTATTTATGAAAATAAATACAAAAGTTAGTTCATATTTATGTTAATTTAATTTTAAAGCTTTTAAAAATGTTCAAGCATGTTTATTTATTAATTTAAACAAATATGGTTGAGTAATAATTAACCGAGTTTGAATTGTTCATCGAGTGCATTAGTTCATTTATTGCCCTAATCAAGAGGCTCACAGAGCAAGAAATAAAAAAAGAAAGTTTGATTCAGAGAAACTATAGAGTGATACTTTGAGATTCTATTAGATTATTCAAATTATATGTTTGAGTACCATAGGCTTTTTAAGTTTGGTTTTTGCTTTAACACCTTATTTATAAATTAGGGCGGGGAGTTTACATGATACAGGGATTGCCACAAAAAATGAAGAGTAGATTGTTAGTTCGCTTTTTTATTGCACAGGCATATAGCCTAATATACAAGAAAATCCTCATTGTCATTTAGCAAAAAATCATGGTGGATTAAGCAGTGCTAGCTTAGATAGAATCACGACATGAAGTAGTCAACTTGTTAGGTGAAATTTTCAACTTGTTGGAGGAAGTTTCTTGGCAATATTTTATTCATCTAGGTGACTTTGTCATCATAGCCTTGGCAAGTTTACTCTGAGTTGGTAACTTTGCTATGAGCTTGGCGAGTTTCTTGTTATGTAGCACCGACATTTCTAAAAATATTCGTACTCGTGTCGGACACATATCAAACACCAACACTTGTCTGACACGTTATGACACTTCTCTGACACTATAAAATATATTTCTGATTTTTTTCAGGAGCGAACATGTTCGCGACACCTCAACATCTCATCAGATGTGAGCTTAATACTATTTCGAGAAAATGGCCTTAATTATACCTTATAGTCGAAACCATCCAATCTCTCGGTATGTTGAAACTTTATCTAACATTCGTCAAAATCGAGTATCGAAGGTGCATCCAATATTCATAGAAATCAAACATTAGTAATTCCCTCTTTGTATTCATAGGATTTTTTACATTTTAGTAGGTAAGTTGGATTATAAGTTGAATGAACTCTTTTGAAACATATTATATCTAATTTCTAAAACTAATATTCATAAACATGTGGTTTTATAATATAAATTAAATTTTATTCTTGCATAATTTGTGTTGTAATATTTTCAATAAAGAATAAGGGAGAAATATAGTTTTTATATTAATAATTAAGTAAATTTAAAAATGTGTCCATGAAGTGTCGTACCATAATTTTTTTTCAATTATGTCGTGCCTCTGTATCGTGTCCGTGTTTGTGTTTCCGTATCTGTGTCTATGCTTCATAGGTTTCTTGTGATCTTGATGAGTTTTTTGCAAGCCTGGCAAGCTTATTGTGAGCTTGATGAGTTTACTATGAGACTAACAAAGTTGATTTTGTCATTCCTTTCGTTCTGCTGAATTAGGTTGAGTTGTTATGACTTGATTTAACTAAAGTTTTTGAGATATTTGAGTGTACATTTAGACCAATTTTTTTATATCTTTGGGAGTTAATATTTAAAAAGAACAATAGAATAATAAAAAATATATATATTTCTGAAACAACGATTTGATCTGGGTTCAAGCAAAAGATGAATATGTTATTTTCTTTAATGACTTGAAAACAATAAAATCATACTTTTAGCAGTCTGACGATCTTGTGGTTTGACTACTAATTATCATTTCAATTTTATGACAAAAATATTTGTGTTTTGATCCATGTGAGTAATTTGTTCATTTTTTTTCCTTTTTTTCTTTGTTCGAGTATAATAGTCCCTTTTTTCACTGTTTCTTTTTTTTTTTCTTTTTTGTTCTTTTTTTGTTTCTTTTTTGTTCTTTTTTTGTTCTTTTTTGTTCTTTTTTTGTTCTTTTTTGTTCTTTTTTTGTTCTTTTTTGGTTCTTTTTCTCCTCTTTCTTCTTCAGGAAATTTATCAAATGGGTAAAGTTTGTGTGCTCTTTCCACTATTGCTCCCCTGTGAGTTCAATTGCTATTCATTTACTTTTCACCGCCACTCCAACTCTTGTGAGTTCCATCATTGACCTTCCATTTACTAGTTTTTCTATGTTTGTGTCTCCTGTGGAGTTAGTCCTTCCAAGCCTTAACGGAGGCAGTGAAGTAAATTTAAAACCCATTATCCTTGAGGAAATGTCTAAACTCTTGAGTATAAATTTTATGCATAAATTTTAGCATATGTAAGCATGCCACACTTGTTAATGCAGAACTATAAGAAAATTATGAGCAAGGTATTCTATCAAATAATTTGCTTCATTTTTGAGTAAATCGGTAGATATGGCGGTAAGCAGCCAAGTACACTTTCATTTTCTGATAGCACTTGTTAATTAAAGTAGGCTTTTATTTTTATAGTGATGATAATACTCTAGTTTTAAATATTGCTATTGATGTATCTTAACTGCAGGCAAATGAGGAAAAACTTTCCATAAAAATTGGTCACAGCTAAGTGGTTGAAAGTCGGGCAGTAGTGTTTAACCTTTCACGTTGTTTTTTTTGTGGAAATGTGAGAAACTTTATTGAAGCCTCATTCCCACTTACCTTAGCGAGGTAAAATTGAAACCCATTAGCTATAATAATTTGTCTCAACTATAATTGTGGTATACATTTAATAACTTCTAGTACAGGCTACATATCTGAGCATACCACACAAGTAGTATAAAGCAACAGAAATTTTTTGAGTTTAAGCATTCAATTTAACTAAAACTTAATTCACTTTTGAGTAAATCACAGTTCACTTTTCTTATTATAATTTTTAGTTGGAAATGCAATAACTTTTCATTTGCTTCTTCTGTTTTCTTGCCATATTTAAGTTAGCAGAAATCCATCAAAATTTTGTCATCCATAGCGCTTCGCATATACTCATTGCCTTTGGAAATTTTTCTTACTGATATGCCACCTGGAATTTGGAATCACAATTTTTATTTTGATGACTAACAACTTTAAGATGATATCACATGATAGAATGTTAAATTTGCAATTTGCTCCTTCCCCATGACAGTTCACGGCTTAGAGTATGGATTCGGAGCTCTTGACTTACCAACAAGTGGTGTCTTTGAGACTGAACCCAGGAACTGTCCTGGTTTTGTATACAGAGGCTCCATTCTATTAGGTTATATTAACACGTCACCCTTCGATCTTAGAACATTCATGGAATCCATGGCTGCAGAATACTATGGGGATACTTATCACCTAATCTCAAAAAACTGCAACCACTTTACCGACGATTTATGTTTCAGGTTGACAGGGCAGCAAATTCCAGGATGGATCAACCGGCTTGCAAGATTAGGTAGAAACTTTTTTACCATTGTTTTTTTGGGAGATTTTTATGCATTCCAATCAGTTCTTATGCATTTACATGTCTAACTCCTACCCTTTAATTTTAGCATATATGCCACCTTACATATGAATGAAAAAGATGTATTTCACTTTTTACAAGTTAAAATAACAGTTTTTCTTATTTGATATGAAAGATTTGGAGGGTATACATGTAAAAATTAAAGTTTAGGTCTTAGTTATGTAAATAAAAATGAATTCGGTAGGATGTATGTAAAGGCCTTTGGTTAGAGAAAAAAGGTACTTTGGTTAGAGAAGTATCACTACTGCCTTTAACACTGTTTAAATCAGTTAGTTTTATGTTGGAAATATGATTAAAAAAAAGACTAAAAAATCAAGCTATGACTCTGAATGGGCAGCGCTTGTAATGAAGTTTTAATTAAAATGCCCAAAATTTTAAGAAAAGCAATATAAGATAAAGAGTAAAAAAAAGTTTCCTAAAGAGGATAAAAGTTATTCTTGGTAGTGTTTTTATTTTTGTGAAAAGCATCAAAATATTCTCCTAACTTTTTGCAAGGGCTTATTTTAGTCTCAAAGTTTATAAAAGTGTCAATTTAATCTCTTGATTTCTTAACATGAATTGAAATAGTCCTTATGGAGGACTATTTTAGTCCCAATTTAAAGAGTATGAGGACTAATTTGACACTTTTATAGACTTTGGGACTAAAATAGCCCCTTGTAAACTATCATGGCTTATTTTGAAACTTCACTCTTATATTTTTTTTTTATAACAATGAGTAGATGGGAAAAAAGTTTATTATCTAGATTATGCATAAAGGGCCTCTTACATCATTTGGGAATGGTAGACAATTGAACACTTGTATTAACTTTTTCACTGCAAAACCTTAAAACTACTTGGCAATATCTTGGTTAAATCCACTTGCCTCCACTTCATCATTATCTATACTCGACTTTGTTTTATCTGGCTCTTGGAGTTCATTTCCGTTCTCAATAGTTTTATATCCTAATATGTGACACTAATGAATTCATTTTTCTTGGTGTAGATGTTCCCTTATGTTATTTGTTCACCTACATCTCACCATGCAACTGGTATGAATGATCAACTCACTCTCAGAGATCCAACGGTCATCCATTGTAATTTTGGCACCCAACAATGACAAATATGAAAGCACACATTTTGCATTAATTATCTATACTCGACTTTGTTTTATCTGGCTCTTGGAGTTCATTTCCGTCCTCAATAGTTTTAAGACATTATCATTAGTTGATTATTAAAATGGACAGGATAATCACATAAATAATCCACATAAAACTTATATTAATGATGCACATATTATTTCGTAAGACATTTGATCATCATATAAATATTAATAGCGATCAACCAAATCAATATTTGTATGACTTATGGGTGATTTATATCTATTATTGTTGTAATATGATTCCTAAGTAACTTCATCTAGCACTTTTAGGAAATATTTTGAGCATATGCTCATATTATTTCATAATACATTTAATCATCATATGAATATCAATAGTAATCAGATAATATCAATATTAGTGTCTTAGTGGTGATTTATATCTATTAGGTTGTTATGAATTATGGTTGTAATATGATTCCTCAACGGTTTCATCCAATGCTTCTTGGAAATATTATCACTTTTTCTCATAAATCGTTTTTAATGTTGATATGACTTAGGGTCTGTCTGCGGAGTGGTACATTCCAACGCCGTGGACTTTCGCTATTTGGGGCAGTGTTCGTGAAAATACCACCGTGAATATGAGTGTTTTGGCGTTATGTTTTTTGCCTGTAGTCCGTCTTTCTTATCGTGTTTCAACTTATTGTCCCCGCATTGCCCTCTTGCAGTTTCTCCTTTCTTCCTCTCACTTCTTCGGTTCATCTTGTCCGTTTAATTGCCTATCTAAAGCTAAACTTCTCATCTTCTTGTCGTTCTCCTTGTCATTTTTATTAAGTTTCCGAATCTAGGGATGGGCCATTCCCTCTGCTCTCCTCTTCTGATGTGCGATTCTGAAGTTAGGGCTTATATGAATGATTTGATTTATGATGAGAATTTGGCCTTTGGGTTTGCAATTCTTTGGTTTTGCAATGAAAAAATTGTGTTAGGGTTTGCTATGCTTTCGTTTTGCGATGGGAAATTAGTATAATTTTGGTTTTGTTTTATTTGATTTTGTTGTTCTTTGGATTTTTTTTTTTCAATTTTTTGTTTCATAAGTAGGGTTGTTATTTTGGTTTGTTGTCGTCTTCTGTCGTTTGATAGCGGTCTATTAATCATTGGGATTATGTTGAGGGTTGTTTGGGTTGTGCCTTCGAGTTATGCATTCGGGTATGTTGTTATTTGTTAGGGTTCGCTGTTCTTTAGGTGTGCTAGCTGCCTTGTGTTGTGAGGGGTTACGATGATGGCCTGTTTTACACTTTCGTTCTCTTGATAGTTGATTATTTTATGTGTTGTATGCATTGAGTGAACATGTTTTAGGCGAAAGATAAGATGTTTGTCATGTGTAATATTCATGATTTTTTAAGCTTGATAATGATACTAATAGCTTGCCATTGTATTTGAGGTGTTAAGGATCATTATAGTTTATGGTTATTGCTTGTATATGAGAATTAGGTTACGAAGTAAATTATAGATTGATCAATATTAGATTAGGATGGCTGGTCAATTTGTTGATTGGTTGAAATTGATCACTTAAGGGATTACTAGATATTCTAAAGATGTTATTTGATGAGTTGGGTTTTTTCCCACATAGGTGGTGACTAGTTGTTTTGATCAAAATTTGTTGAATTTGGCTGGTTGGATAATACTTCATTTACATTACACATGTGGCTATCGAAAGAACAACAAACCCAATTAAGGCCTAGCTGTAATGGCTTTGGTTGTTATGATGAGTAATATGACCCTATGGATCTTTTGGATGGCCTATTGTGTTGCTATGGTTTTCGATATGTACGAGTTCATCGTAAAATATTCCATGGCAACCAAGTTTCCCTTTTTCATAGATCCTCTATCTTGTTCTGACGTTTGATGGCAGATTCTTCACATATTTATATTGACACTAAGCCCTGATTTTATTTCCTAAATTTAAAGATTCTTTGTTTTCATTTAAAAAGTAGGATTAAGTTTTTGACGTCGTTGCGTGGGAAAGGTAATGGTTGAATTAAATAGTTTTGATAAATTAGAAAATTTAGAGATAACATATATACCCAAAAAAAATTATTATTATTAAAAAAAAATTAAAAATCAAAATCCAAAAATAAATATTTTTATTAGAGTTTTTACTTTGCTTGCTTTATTTGTTTATGCGAAATAGTGGATCTGAAGGTTTAGTACCTTACAATTCAGAATTAGAACGTACTATTAGAAAAATTCGAAAACAACAAAGAGAAAATAAAAATTTACAAGAAATGGCGAATAACTTAGATAATCCAATAAATAAAAATCGACAAAGACCTTTAAAAGATTATGCAAATCCGACAACAGATGAACTTCATTTGACTATTCAAAATTCTGATGTTGCTGCTAATTCATTTGAGCTTAAACCTGCTATTATCCAATTTGTTTGTATAAATTTTAATCTTTTATTTTCTCATATTTCTAGTTAACATTTGTTCACTGGTGAGTTGAGATGGGAACATCAAGAGAAGGCAGTTTGTGTACTACATGGGATAGAGAAGTTGTGATGATTTTTATACTGTTTGTCTGACAGAGATTGAACTAGGCAATCTACCTACAATGCATTTTAGTGGGGAAGAGTGACATAATATAATTCAAAAATTTTGTGAAAGGCAGGAAAAGAATATGATAGAAGTTGAAGAATAATGCGATCAACTTAGAAAGGATTGGAAGCTGTGGAAAGAATTGAAACATGGATCAACCGTGCTGACTTGGGATCACAACAAGACTTGAGATGCATCTGATGAAATGTTCGAAGGAGAAATTGGACGTGAAATAGCTTTTTTAAATTCTTTTGTCCTATTACTTGTTTAGAATGTGCATGATAATATGATTAGTACTTTAAATTTATTGAAGTAGGTTGTCCCTAATGCCAAAAAATTCAAACTTGTGGCATTATCTTCGGTGGAGTTGTTGCCACCAGTGACCATGCATGGCCTCCATGTCAAGAAGCCCCAATTGTTATGTAATTATTGTGTTATAATGTGTTGAATATGTATTACACTTGATGCAGTAGAATAATGAACTGACTTTTTTTGAGCTACTGAAATTTATTATGTTATTCAATAATTTGTACTTTGTTTACATGATTTGGCTTAATGTTTTCCTTTTAGGTTTGCAGGTGGGTTGAATTGTATTTTTCTTTTTTTGGGAAGAGGTCCCTTATGTTTTATTTTTTTGTGTGAGCTGTAAGTGGGGTATAGTAGGGACTTCTTGCCTATTTTTATGATTGTTTTTGTGTGGAATAAAATTCCCTACTGGTTTAAAAAAAAATAAAATAAAGTGAAATGAATCTTTAAATATTCAAAAATACTAGAAATAATTTAGATTTATCATATTGTTCTATATTATTGAATTGCCCCTTTGCAATGGAGGGATAGTACCATGAAAATTAACCATTTCTCGATCTTGGTGCTTCATGCATTAGTTACCCCTTTTTTACCCTATGCATTGAATAAGCCTCATCCATATAATTAATAAAAAGTAATTTGTAAAATGATTGTAATCTTATTTTTAATCTTTTGGTTAATCAGATGCTTTCTTTAGCTTCGTATGGTAAGCAAAAGCATTCTTAAGCTTTGCCCACAGTTTGTTAAGTTTCTCCCTGTTATCCAAACAGAACATTATTTATCTATAATCAGCTAGACAAAATTTTCAGTGAGCAAAACCAGTGATGAAAAAAAAGTGCCGGAAAAAAAATTTATAATTACTTAAACAATTATTTAACTCTTGTTGAACTTGTAAAGTTTCTGAAAATTTACTATAAATTACAGGTGCTATTTGTAATTGTCTTCTACCTGAAAGTCTGCGTCTGACCTCGCTTGAACATGTACCGGAGTACCATGTTTTCTCATCAGGTAAGCTAGCCATTCTTGATTTTTCATTTATTTATGTTCTATTAATGCTTTCAATATTTTTCTCTTTCATCATTTTACATTATTGACATAGGTCTATATTTGCAAAAGAAATCAAGAATTATGAATTCAATTGTTCTGTTTAAATCCAACAAAAATCTATGCAATCTTATTTTATTATCTTACTTGCTTTCCTAGAAGATGGCTCAGAATCTATTCCCTTTATCACCTCGCATGAGCCATTGGACGGCGATGATACGGATATCGATAAGCATCTTCTTTGATAGGTTCAGTGACCGTTGTGAAGGGTTCAGAGGTGATGAATTCATTTACAGATTTACTCCTTTTCTCAGGGCATTGCCTCTTAACTAATAAACTCTATCTTGAGGCAATTTTCTTTTTTGGGGTCTGTATGATAATGGCTTTAGCAGCTTTAAAAAATCATATAAATCTGGATTTATTAAATCCTGCTAATAATATGATTTAGTAAATCTGAGATTTAAGGTAAAACTGGAAGGAATTGAACATGAAATCCTGGATTTGAAATTGTCATTTTTATCTTTCTGACAAAATCTATAGTAAATCCTACATAAATCCGTTATCATACAACACCTTAGCTTTCCTAGTGCAGTTCGATGAATATATGCAACTCATCACTAGTTTTTTTCTCATTTTTTCTGCATTATTTGCTTTTGGAAGCTACTATTGTGGCAAATTTTTTTATTGTTTCTGGCTTCAACAGGAGTTTCTGTAAATTAGTTGTTTACCTTTGTGATATAAGGAGTTGTAGAAAGAAAGCTGCTATTTTGTCTTCCTTTTTACTTCTAAATGCAATCTAATTCTTCATAATTTTCATATGAACATTATGCTTCTTTTGTTATCATCTTGTTATTTTTGAGGTGAATATTTTAATTCTGATGGACATTTTTTTTGTTGTTGAAAAAAAAGGATATTCTACCTGATTTTTTCGCTGTTCAAGCAACTGCTTTGAAGTTGGTTTTATGTAATTTGAGTATTTTCACAGATGAGACCAATCATTTTTACGTATAAATTCATTGATGTGCCCCCGGCATTACTAGTGATTTGACAAAATTATTATTTTTTCTTGTGTTTGTACAATTCTTGTATGTTATTGTCAAAATGGGAGTTTATTTATGCTTGTTTTCAGTTGTGGAGTCTTTATAAAAAGACAAAGATGACATGATTTAGAAGTAAATTGTAACTACATGTTTGGAGAAGAATATGTTTTCTTGATTTTTGATTAATATTTATATGATACTTATATCCTTATATATTTAATTCTATGCTACTTGCTTTTAGCAATAAATTACAAATTTTAATTTTAGTTGATGGGGATATTCCTATTACTTCTGACAGCCATTCCTCCTTTTCCTTGTACAGGAACTGTGCCCCATGCAATCACTATTTTTCTTTTCCACCTAATCTATTCGCATTCATTTCCATGTAATCAACACCTATTCTTTCTTTTTTCTCATTAATGGGGAATTTATAATTAATAAGATTTGAATAATGTTTTGTAAAATATATCTGCAGTTTGAAGGAGAAATGAAAATGATTCCTGCTTCAAGCTTTTCTGATAAAATATCAGTCATCATTGATGTGCTTTATTCTATCATGTTGAATAGGATTATGGACTTTGCTTATTACAACCTTCTTGTGTTCACAAACCCTATTGGTCATGACTTTATATTTAATTTTAGCATTGCTTTTAGTTGCTACCTTTTTGTTTTGTGCTTCTCAATGTGATAATATGTTCATGTACATAGACACAATAATCTCTTGTAAATAGATCTTTTGTAAATTACAGAAACATACCCAATCTATATCAATGAGTTTCAATATTTTGTTGACTATTTTTATTGGAAACAAGTACCTCAAGATTTTGTATGTAGCATTTAGTTGTTTTTTTTTTTTTTTGTGATGGATGCATATGATGCTATACATGGGATGAATTTAATTAATTTTCTAACCAATTTTTATATTGATTTACATCAATCGATTCTCCATTCCTTTCATCTCTAAGATTTAGGTTTGGAATAATCGGAGTGCAAAAATGTCTATATCCACTTATTTTGGTTTCCTTTTAGTCTAAAATGTAGTTCCTCTAAGAAACTATGATGACAATTCTTTGACCTTTATATATCCCTTTTCGAGAAATTGTTTGAGGCCTATCAAGTCTTAGATTTTAAATTTTGGAGTTAGACATTCTTCAATATATGTGAGTTATTTTGATAAAATTTTCAATAAATTTTTTGAAAATATGATCTACTTAAGTGATCTTAATATAATTAATAATAATATAATGTTTTATTTTTACTGTCGCATTAGTTAAAAAGAAGTTGAAGAGACTTTAAAGAAAAATGAGGTGAAAAGTCCGTAGGACTTGATGATGTCCCAATTGAAATGTGGAAATATTTAGGAGATTTTAGAGTTTATTGTCTTACCAAACTCTTTAATATTATTTAAAAACTAAAAAGATATCTGTGGAGTGAATGAAGAGTATTTAGGCTCCCATTTTTAAGAATAAAATGAGATGCACAAGATTGTGTAAATTATAGAAGAATTAAGTTGATGTGTCATACCTTAAATTTATGGGAGAGGGCAATTGAACATAAGTTAAGAAATAATATAAAAAGTTCTCATAATCAGTTTGAATTTATGCCGGGCAGGTTTACTATAGAAGTTATACATTTATTGAGAGGTTTGAAAGAAAATGACAAAGAGAATAAGGAGAATCTACATATGATTTTTATTAATTTAGAAAAAACTTATGATAAGGTTCCAAGAGATATCCTTTAAAGAGTTCTAGAGAAGAAATGTATTGATGTCATTAAAGATATGTATGCTAGAGTTGTTACTTATGTTCGAATAGAAGAATTAGCCAAATATTTTCCTATTTTAGTTTGGATTACTTCATGGATCAACTTTAAGCTCATATCTTTTTGCTTTAGTTAAGAATGCTCTTACAGGACATTTACAGGAGGATGTACCTTGGTGTATGTTTTTTGTGATAATATCCTTCTTCTAGAAAAGACTAAAGAAAAATCTCAGAAAAAAACCTCACAAAAAAACTTGAATTATGGAGGTCTACATTGGAGTCTAAAGGTCTTCGTAGTCTAAAGGTGAGTCTAAAGGTCTTCGTTTGAGTAGAACTAAAACTAAATACATGGAATGTAATTTTAATTGTAGTAGCTCTAGTGACAGAATTGTAACTATGAGCGATCAAAACATTAAAAGGTGTGACCCTTTAGATATCTCAGGTATATTATTCAAAGTGATGGTGATATAGATGAGGATGCTATTAATAGAATTCAGAGGAATGCTTCGGACTTATTATGTGATAGAAAAGTACCGCTTAGATTGAAAGGAAAATTTTATAAGATGGTCGTGAGACTTGCAATGCTCTATGGAACTGAATGTTGACCTTTAAAAGAGAAGCATAAAACTATGTTAAATGTTGTCAATGAGAATTCTTAAATGAATGAGTGACTTTACACTTAAAATTAAAATGTGAAATGAATATATCCATAAAAGGGTTGGTGTAGCTCTAGTGGCGGACAAATTTAGAGAGAGTCGTCTTAGATTGTTTGGTCACATTAAATGTGGACCATCTGTTGATCCGGTTAGGAGAGTAGATGTTTTAGATTCAACTTATGTTAGGAAAGGTAGAGGTAGACCTAGAAAGACTTGGGCTTATTGTATAAAAAAGGATCTTAATTTATTAGAATTATATGAAAATATGACACTCAATAGGATGTAATGGAGAGAAATAATTCATGTAGCTGACCCCACTTATTGGGATAAAGGCTTAATATTGTTGTTGTACACCTCTTCAATATATCTATTCATCCACGTCAACACTTATCAAGATATTTTCCTCTACTTAAATGATACATATTGTAATTATCATCTTGTGAGTCTTTCATGAACGTAGTATGATATATTTGGGCATGTAGCCATGATGTTTCGCTAAGCGAGTAAAACTTTCAAACAACACTATCAAGGAGTTTGAGCCCATATAATCACTTATAGATAAAACACATTTGAATTTGGAAGAGAATTCATATAGGCTTTTCCTAAGTCTTCACTTAGAAAGGCATTCTTAATATCTAGTTAGTGTTGAGGCTAATAAGCCTTAATACATTCCCATAAGTACACACATTCATGCATTTGCCACCAACAATACTTTACTCTTTAGGTATGCCCACACCATCTTTTTGGAGTTTAAGTATGACATAAATATGGTACATTTTGTTGCTTTGTTTTAATATTTCATGATTTTAGGTATTAAATTTACCATTTTTACAAGTTATTGACAGTACATACATGTATATAAGTGTGCCCACTAATATCATTAATAATAAGCATGGATATAACCTTTATTTATTTTTTATTTGTTGAAATATTAAATAAAAAAAATGATCAAAATTGATTTTTATTTTGATTTTTGAAATTATAATCTGAATTTGAAAACTTTGCTGCGAAGCTATATTTATTAAGGAAGATTTACAGAAACGCCATTCAATTCTTTTGTATTTACAGTATCCATCACCTAAATTTAATTGTTTACATGCATGCCATCTTATAACTATTACGCTAACGGTGTTCTGAAAGTGATGTAAAATTTGGGTGGTAAAATATAAAAAATAAAGTTTAGGGGTTAGATATGTAAAGATGAAAAAAATCAAATGGTTTGTATGTAAATTCCTTTTTTGATAAATTAATGTCCGTAATCTTGCTCGGTTGAAATGTTGCATTAAGAGTTTGTAATTATAAATACATCACATTGTCCCACAAGTGAAAAAGGGGACAGTTTTTCGAGTTACAACGTTAGTGTAATAGTTATAAGTACAACACGTTATCCCACAGGTTGGAAATGTGTATGTATTTTCTTGAGTTATAATGTCGGTGTACATAAGAGTTTGTTGTCTCGCGGTAGGGAATGGTTGTAGCAGGGGGGAAAAACTACTGGAACTCAAATACGTCGTACTGGTCGGCATGATGTTCTGGATGATGCTCCGCTTTGTTGGTTGTTTGTGATTTCACGACGTTGGTTGTTGCTTCACATGGTGCTTTGTCGGTGGCGGTTGATGGCAGTTGGTAGCGGCCGACAAGTAGTGGTTGATGGTGGTTGGCGGTTGTAGGAGCATGAGGTGTTCGCCGATTGTCAGTGCAGGATGTTAGGCTTCAACTCCCTCTTTTCCACTCTTTGCCCTTCCTCTTCCTCGTGTTCGCCGATTGTCAGTGCAGGATGTTAGGCTTC